GATGGCAAATTATCTTTTTGCAATTTCAGATTAGAATTTTTCTGAGGTTTGTTTTATTTTTGCAACTGCTAAAAACCATTGGGTAGTGTTTGCAATTAAATGACATTATAAGGGCAGTTGATAATGGGAATAGCATTTTAAAATACTTGCGGGAAAATTATGGAATGTATTGTCTGAATGAATATGGATCGATAGATGGATCAATAAATGGATAAATAGATAGACAATCTGCCCACTTCCTCCAATGATACAGCTGCTAAATATATGAGTTACCAATGAATTATAAAGCTGTAAATATAATCCCTGACAATTTCATCTAATGTTTAAGGCACCAGACTAGAAACCAGACTGTAAGTTCTAGTCCTGCTATAGGCATGAAAACCAACTGAGGAGAAAACACCTTTGAACCGTCTCAGCCTCCCCCCCCCCCAAGATGCAAGATAATGAAATATATGGTCAAGTTTATTAGCACTCCATAACAATGTTATCTAAAGCATTTCACACTTCTGAAGAGGCTCTATGAATCACTTGATGGACACCTTATGTCCATACATATGAGGATCTCGACCCCTGAAGTGGTTGACAGTTACTTATTTTAAGTAGTTCTTGAACATTCCTTCTTCATCATAACTTACCTCATTATAGCAAGTCGATGGGTGGGTGGGAGGTAAGTTCTCTGATGAGACAAAAAAGAGGACAAGATTCAGGATTGCAGTAGTTTAGAAGAAATCAGATAAAGATGCTGAACTTTAGAATCAGTACCATGGAGAGCAATTCACAATGAAGTATTGTATTTTTCAGAGTATAAGGCCACTTTTTCCCCCTCAAAAAAGAGGCTGAAAATCTTGGTGCATCTTATACATTGAATACAGCATTTTTTGTCTCCTGAAACCCCGCCCCCTTCATCAAAATGGTCTCGCAGAATGCTACTGGGGACTGGGGAGGGCAGAAATGAGCAAAAAATGGGTTGGTTTTTGCTCAATTTTGCCCCCCCCCCAGCCCCTAGGAGCACTCTAAAAGGCTCATAAAGGCTATGCCTGTCCCTTTTTATAGACAAAAACACTCCGTTTTTGTGAAAAACAGGCTGTTTTTTGCTCATTTTGCCCCCCATCCCCCAGCAGCACTCCACAAGCCGCCTAAAGGCTATTCATGCCCTCTTTTTGAAAAAAAAAAATAGGCCCGTTTCTGTGAGACTTTTGGGAATGCAAAAACTTTTTCTTTAATCTGCCTCTTCAAAACCTTGGTGCATCTTATACTCTGAAAAATATGGTATATATTGTAACAAGAGCTTCAGGGAGAAACTTGCACAGTTTAAGTTTGTGTATAAGAGGCTCCTTCTGGGAATACCATGTCTTCAATATTTTACCAGGATTTTAAATGGATATTATCTTCCTGTGTGCTGATTGGTTTCCATAGGGAGAGACATGGGCATAAAAATCAGAGAAACAGGAATCTGTTTGGGGAATACAACATTGTAAGAGAAGCTTTAGAACTTCTCTAACATTTATGATAAATGAGATCCTAGTAAAGTTTCTGTAAGGCAAAACCTGAAGTTTTTGTACCACTTACTTATCTAGAAAGTCTCATTTTCTTTCACATTTTTTAAAAAAAGGATGCCTATAAATATATGTGTTAATTGACAATCTTAGTTTAATTTGTAAAAAAGGAAATAGGAAAAATCTACACAAAGTAAGATTATAATTCACAATTTAAGTCACTGAAAGTCAGCATTACATATTGAGAACTCTAATTACTTCTTGCATGATTTTTAAAAAAAAATCCACTGCAATACATTTACCCTGGATATTAAATGCATTGCACTATTTGAGAATTTGAAGAATAGGATTCTTGGTACACAAGATTAATAGAAAAGATATAAAGGCAGATTTACATGAATATGATAACATATTCAGGTCCTTCCTTCCTTCCTTCTATTTTCCTCTGCTATCCATTTTATTATGTGCCCATCAAGTCATTTCTAATTCCTAGTGACTATGTAGATCTTCAAGAACATCTATCCCTTTCCCTTTCCCAAAACCAGTGTCCCTCCATTTTATTACATTCTTAATAAACCAGTATTAATATTGTCTTTCATTTGTTTATGTATCTAAAACTAAACTCAATAGGCTATTGATTTAGGAATTCATTTTTCTTTAAATATTTTCATTTGACTTTTATGATTGTGTACTTGATAGATTTCTGTATAGATGATGAAAAAGAATTAAGACATAAGTCTGGGGATTCATATTGGGAGTAAGAGAATGAAAAGATGGAGAAAGATGGAGTCTTTTTTGCTAACTGGATGTTTATCTCCACATGTGAACTTCTTTGTTTCCTTAGCTTTCTAATCTAAATGATGTAAGCTATAGATTTCAGAGGGATCATATACATTTATTTAAATATGTATACACTTACATCTTTTAACCTTGCACTCTGAGCAGAGGATTTATCTTTTAATGCATTGGTATGTAGCACCTTTCTATTAATGTTTTATACTACATGCTCATCTGTCAGTCCTTTCTTCATTAGAACATTTTTAAATGGATAATGATTATATCTCTGTCGCAAAATATAGAGTTATGGGTAGCCCCTGAACCCCTTGATATTACTTCCGGCTGATCTGCAATGTTTACAATGATGGTAGAGTCAAGCTATAAAATACATGAGAAATAGTCATATTAATTGTATTTAATATGTACATTTAAATTAAATTAAATCATTTTAACCTTGCCCTCTGTTTTGAAATTTTGCAATGTCTGGACAGGCACATCACTTGAACACTATGAATGATTTCCCTCTCCAAAGTTATATAAGCCCAATACATTGGCCAAATTGGAGAAACAGGAAGATCCTAACTGACAAATTGACTTAGGGGACAATTACAGATGTCACTAGATATTCTATAGCTCCCTCTATCTCTTCCCCTGTCATATGTTTGTTTTGATGAACAGCTGTTAAGAAACCAAATTAATTTGGTTGAGGCCCAATAAATGTGGAGAAGTATTTCTCTCATGTCATTTCCTGTGTCTAAATAATTATTAGTGGTCTTTGGGGAAAAAATGTACAGCATGGAAACAATTAAACTTTGTTCCATGGAACAAATAGTATCTCTTGCAACAGTGGTAAGATAACGGTGCAAATGAAAAACAGTATACTTTTCCTCAGCACTCCAGTTGAATAGCTTGAATAGCCTGTATAAAATGTTCAATTGATTTTGTTTCAGATAAACAATTCAGACAAAACAGTGTGTGAAGTCAAAAACCTACCAGAACAAAATAAAATACCACATTAATGCAGCAACTTAGTAGCAAAGTGACAAGAAGAAATTCAGCAAATGATGTTTTCTCAGTTTCTGCAAATGAAAAGAAAAAAGTTGCTTAGTTAGACACCAGAGATTCAGTTCAAAATCCCTGCTTCTATCTGAACCCTAGTTAGTATTATAATGTGATGCCAATTCCCCCACCCTGTAAACCATAATGTGGATAAGCCAGGAGAAAAAATAAACATCAGAACATAAAACTTATTTAAAAAATTAAGTTAAAACTATCAGAATTCCTTTGTGGTTCAGGCCATAGTTTTACCTTGTCCAACATTCTAAATGATACAAAGATCAGGTGAATATTGTGGTGGTTCTGGGAAATCGCAAACCTAGGTTGTACAATAACATTCCCACTTTCCAGCAATTAAGATCATCATGTAGGGCTGGTGCTTACAATTCAGGAAGTAATAAACAGCCACCATTAGTATTAGTGACTATGAAAGCTTGATTCTATCCAGACTCTTTTTTAAAACTCTCCAACTGGCTACCTTGATTACAACTGGTAGAAAATGCACTAAAGCATAAATTAAAGCAGCAAACTAATGTCATTGCTAGAATTATGCCAGCTGGCGGTAATGAGGCTTATAGTCTAACTCATCTGGAGAACATCGGGTTGGAGAAAACTGCAGTCTACTCTTGTGAGAAACTAGGTCTTCTGCTCTCCTTGCCCTGCTTCCTCCCAGCACAAAGCCCTTTTCCTGTTGTTTTCAGCTCTGTCTCTTGCCTTAATAAGGTGGTAGCTCTTCCTCTTCCCTTGGTTTTTGGCAACAATAAAATGGTAATTTCAGAGAGTCCATTGGGGAAAAAAGGGTGCAACATAGTTGTGGCATGGATCCAAAATGCCCTTTGAGGTTCTAGTTAGTAGATCACCTTGTAGTTCTGTGACTCAGTCAAAGAGTTGATCGCTCCCTCTACCTATGGAGGCAGAGCTCCTGTCACCTTTTAAAACTATTGTAAAAATTGGAATCTTAATTGTAATGTTTGTTGTTTGGGATAGGGGTGGGAAGGATGATGCTTCCTTCTCACAAACTGATAGAAAGGAGAGAAAGGAGTAGAATGTAAGACACGTTCAACCACTGGAAAACTCAATCCATTTTCTTCCCTATAATTCCGCTCTCCCCATTTATGCCAAAGAGTAATTTTCACCCTCAGCACCAAGTGATGATAATCTGAAGGTGACCAATGCATTAGGAATTCAGATGAGCTCCAAAATATCAATTGTTCCTTTCTATTATTCTTTTTTAAAAAAACCGTCTACTGTAACTGGTGTCCTGAGCCAGCCAAGGAGCAAAATCTCCACCGATCTGTATCGGTTGAAGTTGACAACAGTAATTTGTAATCATCATCGTTCGGAAGCTAAACGTGACGAACGGCTTAGGTTACTTTCCTTGCCACTTTCCCTATATTTAAGTTTTACGATTTAAGGCGACGCCGCTAATCAGAATGGAGAGAGAGGGGAGAGACCGTAAGTACTGTAGAAGCCGTATATGAATGGAGGGGGTGGGACTGCAGGTTCCAACTTCAACCCCTCCTTTTTCGGGAACCAGCCAGTCCCTCTGCAGGGTGTTTGGGCTATTCTGATTCGTTCTCTGGAGTGATTCAATTTGCATCCGGCTCGCCCATTTGTGAATTTGGTTCCCGAAGTCCTCGCTTCACTTAACCTGGGCTTTCTAGCTGCCTTCACTTTAATTGAGCAACCCTGAGCATCCTGGTTCCACTTTTTAAAAAAGAAAAAGAGAGAAGAGGGGGAAAAAGACAGGAAAAGAGATAGGGGACAACGGCTCGACTCTGATTTCTCTTGTGGATGCTGGACTTTCTATCTCTCCTTTTTTTTTTCTTTGCTCCTTCAGTTTGCTCTGTTTGAGTTCCACGGGAAGATCTGGCAGGTACTTTTTTTGTAGGGCGCACGCTGCGAGACCTCCTCCGCTGCCGCCCCGCATTCGAGGATAAGGTGGTTCAGTTTGTCGAGTGCCCGTTCGTTGCTGCGTGCGTGTGGGTTCCCCGGCGCGTGTCGGTGTGAAAGAGGAGATTAAAGCATCCCCGCAGTGCAACCTTTGTCCGTGGAGAAGCAACCAAGCCACAGCACCTGGAATTGGGATAAGGCGGTGGAGGCGAAGTCAAAATCTTTCTAAGGTCTCTGGCTGCATTCCCCTCACCTCCAACCATTTTTTTTTCCTTTCTCCAGTTAAAAGTGAGACGGCAGGTAGGGGGAAATCCCGGTGGATCGTGTGAACCTGGAGACAGAACGCGACAGATGAGAAAATAGGATCATCCTTCTCTGCTTAGTATGCGTGGCTCCGCGGGTCCTTCTTAGAAGCTTGCTACGTCTGAAGGAAACCTTCCCCTCCAGAAATTGACACCCCCCCAAAAAACGCCTTCCAAACCAGCCCTTGGGATCTAGCAGCGGTTGACTTCGATTGCTCGTTCACCGTGTTGCTCGGCTGTTTTAACCCATTCCCCGCCCGCTCCATTGTGGCGCGCAAGTCCCACTTTAGAAGCGACTCTTCTCTTTTTTTCCCTCCACCCCGAAGCCGAGTAGGATGGAGACTTTGGCATCATGAACCTGACCCTCTTTTCCCGGCTGGAATTTGAACTGCCCGGCCCGTAGGTGTCCCTCTATCTTCTTTCCGGCTTTTTGCTCCGTGCGCTTGACCATGAGGCGCGCTGCTTTGAGAACAGCACCAGGACGCTGTCCCGCGTGGACCCTGTGGATGGGCTCCCTCGTCTGGGGATGGATCGTAAGCTCGGCGCGGAGTTCTTCCGGCGCGGATTTGCCGGCTTCTTCGTCCGCCTCTTCGCAGGTTCAGCAAGAGCATCATTTCCATGGCAGCAAGCACCACTCCGTGCCTATTTCCATCTACCGGTCTCCGGTCTCTTTGCGGGGAGGACACGGTGGGTGCTGCTCGCGCTTTCTTTCTTTTTTTTTTTTCCGCGGACCGGCCGGAGGTGGTTTGCTGGCGCGGGGAAGGGTCCTTGGGCTCGGGAAGCGGGCAGAAGCCGAATAGGTGCGCCAGGGAGAGAGGGATCGAATCGGAACCGTGGAGGAAGGGAAGAAACTTTCCTTTAGTCTGTTATAAACAGCCCTAAAGCGGAGGGCCTGCTTGCACCCAGCCAGCGGGGATATTGGCAAAGCCTTGCTTTCCAGCAGGAGTGCCAGGGAGACCGCTGCCGGCCACCAGAGGATTGGGTTTTTTTTTTTTTTTGGGGGGGGGGTGTCTCTTGGTGTATGTGTGTGTGTGTGTGTGTGTGTGTGTGTGTTCTACTCCTGGCCCTGGCAGGTGACCGGGGAGATCCTTCCTTCCTCCCTTTTTCAGCTCCTGGCCCTCCTCCGCCTGCTCGCACCTCTCAGTGGCCGCAGCTTCCTTTGGCCTAGAACTGATCGAACCCATCATCTGCGTCGCAGGATGCTTCGTCCCCGGCTACGGGTTTCTCACTCTTCGCTACGCTTGGGTTGAGGGCGGGAGGGCAGACGGGGAAATGGGGGAGGGGAAGGGAAGAGGGTCTGTGCTGTGGCGGTGCCAGATTTTGGGCACCGGCGTAGGGTTTTTTGGGGGGCGGGGAGGGGTCGCCCCATCTTTCCCACATTCAAAGCCTGCTTTGCTACCCCCCCCCCCCGATCAGAGCTTCTCTTCCTCGAACTGCGAGACTTCCTCGGGCTTTTCTTCCCTCGACACGAGGAAAAATCGTATTTAGTAAGCCAGCGGAGTTAATGCCTCCCGGTAGGTTCTGGAGAGGGGGAAAAATAATCAAACCCCTCACGAAAGAACCGCGTGTGGCTGGGTGGGGAGTAATGGGGGTGGGGAAGCGTTCCCATAATCATAACGCCTGGTTTGCTTCCCCAGGGTGCATTACATAAACTCCCATTGGCTAAGTTTGTACCACATGTTAAAAGCTATAAGTCATGGTTTACAAACCACAATGGATATGCTCCATGCAATCTGCTAAACCATAACTAAACCAAATGTTGCCTTAAAGTGTTTTTTTGGAAGCCAAGCTAAGCAGGGAGAAGCAATGCCAATCTGAATTTGAATGTAGGCATGCAGGAGTGGCCTGGAAGGAAAGATGTCAAGAAAGCTGGTACTAGTTTTTAACTTTGCTGAGGGGGCTTTTCTTCTGCCCTACCCAGGACTAGTATGACAAACCATTCCGTAGAAGGGAGAGTTTGCTCTAACTAGATGGAGAGAAGCACTGACTAACTAAAGCCTACCTAAAAGACATAGAAGGGCCAGGTATATGGATTGGAAACTGTAAAAGTGATCCAAAAAATCCATTGGAAATAATTAGGGAGATGAGAAAGCCTATTTACTTGACTAGGCTCCCTGAGATCAATGCAAATACAAATAGGGAACAAACAAACTTAAGATATTGAGAGGGAATGAAATGGGTCACAGCGTTTGGGAATCTTTCTAATTTTCTTTTATTAACATTTTAAAACATAAGTCTGTTCTTTACTATTGATTAAACACCTATTTGGTTTGAGGCAGAGAAATGACTTAAATTACTCTCACCGTATTGATTTTTAAATGTTATTTTAAATATGTCCTTTAATATGAACTTAATATATTCATTCTTAATCTTGGCACTAGAAATAAGGGTAATAGAAATAGAAGGGTAATGTGGAATTGGAGTGCCAGTCCTTTGGAGTAGAATGCCAGCCATGCATGATAGGCAGATATTTTGAGATGGGATGTTGATCCCAGGAGGCAAAATGCCTGCAACAAAACTCTTAAGGACTGGAATGATACACTTGGAATTCCAGCCTCTGGACATTGTGTCTCTTGAAAGGGGTGGCACCCAAATCTCAGGGTTCTTAATCCGGGGAAATCATTCCATTTCTGAAGATAGTCATTCTACACTCTATATATTATATTAAATAATATAAAATCATCAATCAAATCAATTTTGTTCTAAATGTTTTTTTTTTCACTTTTAAATCATTTTAAAGTTCTAAGCTTTATATTTCTAGACTGAAATGCAGCTAAGATACCTTTTTATATAGGTAGATGTCAGTCAACAATAGTTTTCTGTGTGAAACTTCCAATGTGTCCCTTAATTAAATGTGAACCTGAATATTCAGCATCAAACATTTGCATACAGCATCCTTATCCAACCTGTTGTCCTCCATATATGTTGGACCTGAGTTCCCAACCTTTGGGACCAACACTATTTAGTAGTGTTGACTGGGAATAATGGAAATTCTGGTTTAACATATCTAGGGGATAGCATGTAAGGAAGGAGCTCTGATTTAATATACTTAAGTTATAGTGTTCATAAAGTCTCTACAAGTCATGTTTTTTTTTTGTGTGTGTGTGTGTGTGTTTTTTTATAAAGCCTTGGAAGAAAAGTGCTTTATAAGCTACCTTATTTCTCATTTCCTTTTGGGGCACTTGTAAATGAATCTTCTGCATATTTTACCTGCTTCATTTCTGAGTTGGTTGAGGTCCAGGGAACTTGCTCTCATTTAAATAAGATTTTTGTATTATCCCAAGGATAATACTGGAAATATATTTGAATTTGTTTCTTCCACTCCCACTTGCAAGGAGTTTTTTTTTTTAATTAATCCACATAAATGATGACTATTGTCCATCCTTTATCTGTTTTATTTGATGTATTACATTGAAGTTCACTAAAATTTTAGTGGAAGCAATTAATACAGATTCCTAGGTATACCTGATATCGTGGTAGATTCTTCTTGGGAAATAGAATTAAAACTGCAGGAATAGTTTCTGTATCTGTACTAAGGAGAGAGAAAATAGCTGATCTGAAAAAAAAGGATAAAATGCAGAGGTGAAAACATATCAAGGGAGAAATAGGACATTTCTCCCCTCCTCCTCCTCCTCCTCCTCCTCCTCTTCCTCCCCTTTCCACCCTACATCCAAAATCCAATTGGTTGTGAAGCTGGAATGGAAAATCAACTGGTACTAGAAGAAGCCGCATGAGTTTCTTAGTTTCATTGCTATTTCCTGAACAGAAGAGGTAAAGTGAGGGAAGGAAAAAGGAAAAGCACTGCCTCAAACCTGGAACATTAGCAACAACTCCTATTAGAAGCAAATTTGATTCTTCCTTGATAAAGGTTATACTCCTTTCCTAATTGTCGCTAATGTTTGGCGACCTCTAGAGGTATTCTCCCTTCAATCCAATGGAGAGGTATTCACAGGTTGAAAACAAATAGAGGAGATAGAATGCATTTCAGGAAAGCTAAGAAGAAATGAATGATAAGGTGAACCTCCATATAAGCCAGTGTAGGATTGTTACCGTGTTATTGTTGTTTTTACCATTTATCATATATGTGAAGAAAAGTATTCCTTCAAGTAACCTCAGCAACTTTCTAGTTTATTGGGACTGCAAGTCCTAAAATTCAGAACAGCTATGGGACTTGTAGCCCTATCATACCTACAAAGCACTAACTTGAAGAATATTGAACTACAGTGTTTGTGGAAGAGGGGAAATCAAAGTTTTTGTCTATCAAGAAAGGTCAAGGTGGAATTAGTTAAAACAGCTTCTGTCAGCATGTAGAGATGCATATTTCTTCAGTCTGGTTCTTTGTTAGAAAGCTATAAAAATAAATTATAACTACAACTTTCCCTTCATTCTCAGCCCCATATTTTTAGCCTTCAAAAAAAGTTGGTTCAGTCCATTTTTATATACATGTTGGTATACAATTCACAAGATTCACATCCCAACCCAGGATGTTGGACATCCTAGTACTACATGTTTAGAAATCACAAATAGTATAACTTTTCCCAAACTATCCCCAAAACGTTTGGGATAATTGGGATTTCAGTGGTTGCAGGGAAGGCAAATTATTATGTCATCTCTGTGATAAAACACACTCTGTTCCAAAATCTGATATTGTAAGGTCTGCTTTGCATCTCTCTGTTTCCCACATCACTTTTCTGTTTTTCTCCTTTAATCTTGTGAACTCTTTCCTTTCTGATCTTAAAATCCTTGTATTTAAATGAAATTGGATAGCAATTAACTTTCTCTGGTTTAGTCTCATTACTTGGAAGTATTCCAAAATGAGTTTAATGGGGGAGTGAATCAGGACTTCCTCTGAAAAGCCTTCTGATACAGGATCTGAACCCAGAGGAGGCTGGAGCAGAACAGTTGGTCGCCAGAAGCAAAAACATCCAAGTGTAGGAATTGTTGCATTCAGATCTTATCAGTCCCAATAAACTAGAAAGTTGCTGTATTTACTTGAAGGAATACTTTTGTTCACATATGTGATAAATGATAAAAGAAAACAACAGAGTAACAATCCTATGCTGGCTTATATGGAAGTTGACCTTATCATTCATTTCTTCTTAGCTTTCCTGAAATGCATTCTATCTTTTCAATTGAGACAACTAAGGTTGTACAGAGTAGATATACTGAATGATTGAGTCTAATTACTGGCAGGAGCAGCACTGTTCAAGCTGATTGATTAAGGTTACTAAATACAATTTGTGAAAATCCAGAAAAACCACTGGATGGTAGGAGAGTTAGCTTCTGTTACATTTTTGCAACCATCTAGAGGGTCTCTAGACTTTTGTATCCTGGCTATAGCAGCCCTGTATTAATCAAGTACATTTCAGGAAGAAAAGGAAAACATTGAACCTGACAGATTTAAGTAAGCTTGCTGTTCACTTCTTCTTGCTGGCAACCTGACAGCATTTGCTCTGTAGGCAAGGAAAACAAAATGTGAGTTCTGATCATTCTTTTCTCTTCCTGTTGCTGCTTCTAAAAAGCAATTGGCTTCAGTTCTTCTCAGACACTTGATTGTGATTTTGGGGAAGAAAAGTGGTGAATTCCATCAGTGAATTCAAGTCCTTTGACTAGTTTGAGATTTGGCTCATCTCTACAGTACATGCAGATAACTTGGATTGCAGCTCTCTTTGGAGTGAACATGAGAA